GGGGGGGCCCCCAAGACCCCCTGGGGGCCCCCGTGGGCCCAACAGGGGCCCCCTGGGGGCTCTTGTACCCAACAGGGTAGGTACAGGGGGCCCCCTTGGGGCCCCCTGTACCCAGCAAGGGCCCCTATGGGCCCGCTATACCCAAAAGGGGCCCCCATGGGGGCCCCTACACCGAAGAAGGGCCCTCTGAGGGCCCCTAGACACAAGAGGGGCCCCCTTCGGGCCCCCTATCCCCAAGAGGGGCCCTTGTTCTGGGGGACCCCTGGACCCAAAAGGGGCCCCCCTGGGGGCCCCCTGGGGCCCCCAAGATCGAAAGGGACTCCTTGAAAATCCCAGGAAGACCAGTAAAGCCAACCCGGGGACTTCCGGGGGCCCCCAAAATCAGAGGGGCCCCTGGGGGCCCTTAGGGGCCCCCGGGGGCTCCCGGGGGCCCCTGGGGGCCCCTGGAGGCCCCTGGAGCGCCCCCCGGCCCTCACTGGCTCGCAGCTTCTGGCTGGGGGCCCTCCAGGGGGCCCCTCTCCTCTGGGGCCCCTTCTGTTGAGTCTGGTGAGGAGGGTCCATGGGGGCCCCCCAGGGGAGATTCTGCAGCAGGGGGCCCCTGAGGGGCGCCCCCCGTTGACTCTGGTGGAGGCGGGGGCCCCTGGGGGCCCACCACAGTTGAGCCTGTAGAGGGGGCCCCCAGGGTCCCAGGGGTGGCCTCCTGGGGGCCCCCCTGGGGGGCCCCTTCAGGGGTTTCGTTAGGGGCCCCCTTGGGGACCCCCTCGGGGGCCCCCTGGGAGGCCTCGTCGGGGGTCTCCTGGGGGGCCCCCTGGGGGGCCCCCAGTTGCTGGGGAAAGGCTATTTTGAAAACTTGGTCATAGTCATCTACGAAGTGGACATCGAGGCCCTCCTGAGGAACCCAAACCCTAAACCCTAAACCCTAAACCCTAAGTCTGCCAAGTTAAGGAAAGCAGGCGTAAATTTTCATTTCCTATGAGGGTTTACAAAGGGTTTAGGGTTTAGGATTGAGGGTTTAGGGTTTAGGGTTTGGGGTTTAGCTGACCTTCACATTAGGAGGAAGCTCTTCGAAGTCCCGCATGTTTCCCCTTGGGAAGATTAGGGTCTGCAGTTCAAACCACGATTTAGGGTTTGGGGTTTAGAGCCACGGTTTGGAATCTCGAGAGAACGGCGTTTCAGAATCACCCACGGTGTGCGGCTCTCAAAGACTAAGGGTTTAGGGTTTAGGGTTTAGGGTTTACCTTTAGGTTTTCGCGTTTCGCCGCAATAACTTTTTCCTTGATGCCACCCACCTTCAGGACCTTGCCTGAGTAGAAAAGGGTTTAGGGTTTAGGGTTTAGGGTTTAGGGTTTAGAGTTTAGGGTTTCTCCAGGTCTGCGGGCTGGCGCTTAGTTCTTCGAAGAGATTCACACTCAGGCTGCGGCAGATATAGGTGCCCTGGCGGCGGACAGTTAGGGTTTAGGGTTTAGGGTTTAGGGTTTAGGGTTTACCTGTGAGCGTGAGCTCTCCTGTCATCGCTAAGTCGGGTTTAGGGTTTAGATTTAATGCCAAAGAAAGAAGAGCAGAAGCAAGAGTGACTCCAGCAGAGGGGCCGTCTTTCGGCGTTGCGCCTGCACAAAACGAGGGTTTAGGGTTTAGGGTTTAGGGTTTGGGGGTTCCGGCGCCCGGCGCCCTGCTGAGCGAGGGTTTAGGGTTTAGGGTTTAGGGTTTAGCGGTGGGGGCCGTTCGGTCCGCCGCGCGACTGCGAGGAGCCGAACCCCTACGCGCCTTGGGCGTGCGAGGGTTTAGGGTTTAGGGTTTAGGGTTTCGGACCTTCGGGGACATGCAGATGAATGGCGCTTTCAAACAAATAATTATTATTAGGGTTTTGCTTTTTTATAAACCCTCGCGAAAAGGTCATAGCGATTTCGCAGCTCTCATTCATCACTCCTCCCAGCTGCCCCGTCACTTTCAAACTGCCCCCAGTCCTGCGCACAAACCCTAAACCCTAAACCCTAAACCCTAAGCCCTGACTAAAGCAGGAGGTGTCCACCGCCTAGGTTTGGTGCTGCTTAAATCCCCGCGCGCTGCGGGGGGCCTCGCCACTCGCCGCTGAGGCTAATTTAGGGTTTAGGGTTTACGGTTTAGGGTTTAGGGTTTACGGTTTGAAGTCCCCTTTCGAGGGTTTAGAGCTGCCCTGCTCTGCGCTCCTCCCAACAGCCTCCACAAATATCACAGCGCCTCCCATTGCCGTCCAGGCCAGGCCCATGACCACTCCTGCGGGCAAAACTAGGGTTTAGGGTTTAGGGTTTAGGGTTTGGGCGAAGGCACTGAGGGTTTGGAATCTAGCGAGGGTTTGGAGCCTGAGGAGAACTCTGCAGCCCTTTGGCAATATAGGGGCGAGGGTTTAGGGCTTTGGGGCCAAAAGCCTTCAAGGCAACACATGGGTTTAGGGTTTAGGGTTTAGGGTTTAGGGTTTGAGTGTGGGCAGCAAGAACTAATCAGCCGTTCGAAAAGCGCTAAACGAGGGTTTGGGGTTTTAATTTAGCCTCAACGGCCTAGAGACACTGCAGAACCCAGTAGGGTTTAGAGTTTAGCGTCAGCGAAGGTTTAGGGTTTAGGGTTTAGGGTTTAGGGTTACCGGGCTGTGTTCTTTCAAAAAGACGGGAAGAAGTCCACGGCGGCTGGTCGACGAAGTTCGTGAGGTTTTCCTGCGTCACTGAAACTGCGTCTGTTTCCTTCCTGCCTCGCAAACCCTAAACCCTAAACCCTAAACCCTAAACCCCAAACCCTAAACCCTAAACCC